AGAAACGCTTCTGAAGGATCTCAACACCATGAGTGTAGATATTATCACGGTTGGGGCCAAATTGGGAAGGCTTGAATGTGGATTGTAGTCCATTGGGGATGATCTGGTTCCGTAGGCAGGTGCGAAGAAAGGTGATGTGGCTGTTGTACCTGGTTTGCTTCAGGACGTGGTCGAGCAGTTTCAGGGCCGAAGAGATTATGAGACAGTTGCAGTGCGAGAGAGATCCCTTGAGGTTTGTCCAGAGGGAGGAGGGTAACTTCTTCAGGTAAGGCATCCTTAGAAGAGGCTTCGCAGTGGGGTTAAAATTGAATCAGAGATAGTAGGGCCTCTGACACTTCTCTTTACATCTGTCAGCCAGGGCTCCCTGATTGGGCCAGGTTAACGGCCCTAATCAAGGAACTCACTTTCTCTGAGGTCCACCTGGCTGACCTCATTACAATCACTACATCCCCTCTACTTACTCTGGTTGTGACATCCTCGAAAAACTCTAATGAAATAGACACAATCTCCCTTTAACAAAGGGTGACATGGTGGCTCAATGGTTTGCACTGGTGCCACACAGCACCAGGGACCCTGGGTTCAATTCCACCCTCAAGCAACTATCTGTGTTGAGTTTGCATATTCTCCCTGTATCTGCATGGGTTTCCTCTGGGTGCTCTGGTTTTCTTCCACAGTCCAAAGACATGAAGGTTAGGTGGACTAGCTGTGGAAAATACAGGAATAGGGTAGAGGGATTGGGTCTGGGTGCATTGCTCTTCAGAGGGTCAGTATGGACTTGATGGACCAAATGGCCTGCTTCCACACTGTGGCGATCCTATGATAAAACCATGCTAATTCTGCTGGATTAAATTACAATTTTCCAAATGCTCTGCTGTTGTTACTTTCTTAACAAGTGATTCAACATTTTTTCAACAATAGAGTGCCATTTGGTAATCCAAGTAAAACGTGTGGAGATCTACACTGAACAGTGGCAGCTCAAGTATGGTACTTGTGACACAGCACCTCGTGACCAAGGAATTTCAATGAATTAGAACGGGATTCATTTTGTGTTTTCAATCTGCACTGCAAGGAGTCACTGGTCTCCTTATAAGCACAGGATTAGATGGCAAAGTTTGGTTACAATTCAATTTACAAGCAAATAGTCTCCAGTTGAACAACACAGTCAGCCACAATGATCTGGACGTCCCAGTTAATACAGAAAGCCACCTTTGCTTTGCCATAAACTGCTTCCTGCCTTTGAGATTTTCTTGTTCAATGACCTTTGACTTGGTAAAACCTAACAACCTGTTCAAAGACAGAGGTTATAGTCTTTGTTCCCCACACAAGCCCGTGTACAAGAAAACTTTTTACCTGCTGACCGTGTTAAGGAATAGTATGAGGCTTCCACTCGCTGCCGTGTCCTTTCTGCAAGGAATTTAATCTGGAGAATTTAAAAGGCGTGTACACTTTTTTTTTCACAACCCGGTTTCACTTCCTACCTAATCGCTCCGCCCTAATCTTAAAACCAGCCCAACAGGAAAAGCATTGCTCCAGCACAAGCTTTGATTATGAGTATCATCTCAATTACAGTCACTCACTACTGACTCATTGTCAACAGAAACTTAATTTGTACGCTTCGGATTTTAAATGGTTGATCCCTTTTGTTTTTGCAATTTTTTTTCTCCCTGTTAAAGAAGACACAAGCAATCTCCAGGGTGTTTTAATTTGAGATGAATCCAGATATTGCCAGAAACAAACAAAAAAGTTCACAGTTTCGACAGGGTTCAGTTACTCCCTCACCCCAAATTATTACAATTGACCTCACCCGAACTGGATCAACCCACACTGAGATACAGCCAGTCCCTTATGTCAGCAGTTCCTCCTCGAAGCACTTTGAAAACAAAATATAAACATACTGTCATCTCCGCAGATTTAGTCTTGTATTAGCAAGGAAAGCCTTGAGTTTCTTTGTTCTACGCATGTGTACAGAATCGAACTGCTCTAGTGACGATGTATTTAAAGATCTTTATAAGGTATACTTTTGAAATAAAAATAATCATGTCTGAGATGTGAGCTTTGCTGACACATTTATTGCCCTTCCCTCGCTGCTAGTGATTGAGATGGTGGTGGTGTGTCGTAGATAGACTCATAATGCCCATAGGGAGGGAGCTGCAGAATTTTGACCCAGCCAAGCTGAAGGAACGTCGATACATTTCCAAGTGGTGCGTGGCTTGGAGAAGGGAACTTGCAGGTGGTGATGTTCCCATATGATAGAATGTTGCAGCACAGAGAAAAGCCCTTCAGCCCATCGCCTCCATGCTGGTTATCAAGTACCTATTTACTCCAGTCCTATTTTCCAGCACTTGGGCCATATGCTATGGCATTTCAACTGTTCAATCAGAGTATTTCTCAGTGTTATGAGGGTTCCCAACTCCAGCACCTTTCAGGCAGTAAGTTCCAGATACTTATCAGCCTCTGGGTGAAAAAAAAATTCTTCAATCTCCTCTAAACCACCTGCCCCTTAGCTGACTGAAGTCTTTGGTATTGACTCCTCTACTAAAGGGAAATATTTCTAACTTACCTATGCCCCTCATAATTTTGTATAACTCAGTCAGGTCTCCTGCCAACCTTCTCTGGTCTGAGGAAAACAACTCCAGCCTATCTAGTCTCTTTTCGTAGCTGAATCTCTCCACCCTAGGCACATTCATGGTGAATCTCCTCTGCATCCTCTCTAGTGCAATCACTTTCTTCTTACAGTACAATGACCAGAATTGCACAGTATTCCAGCTGTGGTTTAACTACCTATATCTACTGCTTCATTATAACCTCCCAGGTCTTGTATTCAATGCTTCGACTAATAAAGCAAGTATTCCACCTGCCTTCTTGACTGTCTTATCCAATTGTCCTGTTGCCTTCAAGGATCTATGGACATGCTCACCAAGGTCTCTCTGGTCCGCTGTAACTCTCACTGCCCTACCATTCAACATGTATTCCAGTACCTTGTTAATCCTCCCAAAATGTATCCCCTCTCCCTTCAGGATTAAATTCTACTTGCCATTTTTCCTGCCCATCTGACCAGACTATCTACATTGTCCTGTAGTCTGAGGCTTTCCCCTCATGATTTACCACACCACCAATTTTCATGTCATCTGTGAGCTTACTGATCATACCCCTACACATAGCTGGATCATTAATGTACACAACAAATAGCAAGACACCTAGCTGTTACCCTATGATACACCACTGAACACAGGCTTCCAATTACAAAACAATCTTTGACCGCTTCCTGCCACTAGGGCCAATCTTGGATCCAATTTGCCAAATTGCTCTGGATTCCATGGGCTCTTATCTTCTTGACCAGTCTCCCATGCAATACCTTGTCAAATGCCTTACTGAATTCCATCAGATGCACTAACACCACTTGCACATCTGGTCACCTCCTTGAAAAACTTAAATCAAATCTGTCTGACATAATCTCCCCCTGGCAAAGCCATGCTTTCCTTGATCAATCCTTTGACTTTCAAGTAGAGATTACTTCCGTGCCTAAATCCGACTGACATCAGACTCACTGTCCTGTAAGTCCTTGATTTATGCTTTATTGAGAAATGATATCACATTAGCTTCCCTCCAGTCCTCTGGCACGTTTCCTGTGGCCAGAGAGGATTTGTAAAGTCATGGCCCTTGCAATCTCCTCAAGTTACATGAATAAAGAAATGCTTTGCATTCCAGACTAACTTGTTCTTTCTTCAAAAATGTGTGTCATCATTGACATTTTACTTCCACCCTGAATCTTATCCCCTTTGCAAATTAGTTTAAAATACCTCTAACAGTACTAGAACCCTCTCTCCCCTCAAGGGTGTTGATCGATCCTGTTTCCATTCCGATGCAACCTGTCAGAATTGCACAGATCCCATCTTCTCCAGAAATAAGAGCCAGTGATTTGAGACCAACAGCAACTTTTCAGCCACATGTTCATTTATTCCATTTGCCTATTCCAAAACTCATTACCACTAGCAAAATGTCTACTGCCCTCATCATTCTCAGGCGTAGAGGTTGGGAGTTTAAACAGTGCCCTCTAAAGGATCTTGGTGAGTAGCTAAGTATGTACTGCTGCCATTGTGTGACAGTGATGGTTTTAAGCTGAATCAGCCTCTTAAAAGATCACGTATCTGATTGGCAGAACATTAACAAGATCAGAAGTGATACAATTCAGTTGGTAAGTGTCAATGAGAAACAATATCAGGAGCCAATTAAAACTACTGAAATCATACAATAGGCCACTTTGAGCCTGCTCTGCCATTCAATAAGGTCATGGCTGATCTGATTTTAACCTCAACTTCACATTCCTGTATATCCCTAATGACCTTGCACCCCTTTGGTAATCAAGAATCTAACTACCATTGTCTTAAAAATATTAAACTGTTTTGAGAGTCTGGTTCAAATTTAGCTCATTTCTCAGCCAGTCAAACATTTAGCCCTTTAATTGACTCAATAATATTTGTCCTTATTCAGTACCCTTTCCAATGGCATAAACCACAAAGCAATTCCTAGAAAGGACTTACTTCCGTGTCAGAAGTGTTACAGCTAATCAAGGTGGAGAGGAACTTTCTCCCTTTTATCCCACTCTACATTTGATTTGAAGTAGTGAATTTAAAAAAGGATGCATTTGCCCATTGAGGGTATACATTTCACTTTACTGCAGATGATAAAGAATAAGCCTGACAGAATTTTCTGGGTTAAACACAAGGGGTTGGGTTTATTATTTTATTAAATAAAACCCACCAAGGTAAAGCCAAAAATATAAAAACACATCCTGACTTCCAGAAAATTCATGCACAATCATAATTCAAACTACATATGCAAAAATAACAATTATATGATAGGATAGAAGGATTAAGTCCGTAAGTAATAAGCATAGACGGTCAGTGGTTCAGTACCTCTGGCTGGTCAGATGCTTCTTTGATGATCTGGATATTTTAATGTAAATTGTGGCCAGTTAATTTGGTTGTTCCTCGAGAGAGTGGTATTAAACATAACTTGGGTTTTAAAAGGTCTCACTTTGAAGGTTTACTTCTGGCTTGGTTTTTTGTCAGAAAACAGGGCTCAAAGGTTTTGGAAGGTCAAGAACAAGGCTCAACAGTGGCAGCTGTTTGTCCCCAGTGCAGCAGGATGCCAACAAGATGTTTCCTTCTTTAATCATCCCTAATGAATCTTGATACTTAACTCTTGAACTGCCAGTGGTTCAGATTTGACTATACTCCAAACAGCAACATGGATAGTTTTACCATAGCCTGCATTCCCGGGAATTGGATTTGAACGTCCTCTTTCCTCTGTAAGAGGTGCCATGTAAATCAGGACGAAAGCTGTTCACAGATCTCCAGCAAGCCTTTGCCTCGAAGGATGTTGCAGTGCCTGGCAATGACATAATTAGCATTGACATCTTTATGTCAAGACAGTTTCTTTGTTTCAAGTAAAATGTCTTGTAAAAAAGAAAGTTCAATATAGCCAATTAAAGCTTGGTGCAAAGACATCTTAGATGAGAAACCCAGGGCTAAATTTTCATTATGCTGTTTAAGCTTCACTGAAAGATTTGCCATTTATTCCCTTCCAATAATATTGGTTCTTCATTGGCCGCAATCTATGTCAATAACAGCAAGCCTCTTCTTCCTTGATCGAATGCTGTAACGAGTTGAACAGATACTGCTAAATATTAAGAGCTGGTAACAGGATCAAGCAACACCACACTTTTCTGTACAATTGATACAAAGCTGATTCACAGGGTGTGGCAGATTTGTCCATATCCAAGCATCTTCATCTGCAATCAGGGATGGAAAATTACTGATGGTACAAAGCCAGGAAGTTATTATAAACAACAAGCATTTGTATAAAATACAAAACTAGCAGTATCTCCTAGCACTGTAAGCAGCATCCCTACCTAAGCTGGCAAGCTCTGGTCCAAATCCCACTTCAGAACTTTTTGACCAAAGAAGCGTAATTTATAACATGGCCAAACAGGATAATTATCCATTTATAAATTTTTCCAATGTATCTACAGCAGCCACCCTCTGGTGACAGGCTAGCTACCTATTCCAGAAAAAAAAACTAGCACTGGAAATAAACACAAAAGACATACTTTGCATCATACATCACTAGAGATGGAAGAGGAAAGAACAAAGCAAAAATGCTTGAAATACTCAGGTGAGATAGCATCTATGGAGATAGAAACAAGAGTTACTGTCTCAGTTCAATGACCTATTGTCAAAAATGTTAAGATATTTAACAGGTAAGCAAGCTCAGTGGTTGGATAAGGGCATGAAGAGTGAGAATAGGAAAGGTCTGAAGGATAGATTAAATGACAAGAGAGACGATGGCACAAGTAGAATGAAATGGGATAAGCAAACAATGAGTCTAGAAGTCAAAAAAGGAACAAGTATCATACCCAACTTCTGCTGCCCATAAAAGTGGGAGCAGAGTGAAACTTTCATGCAACATTGAGCATGCAATGTTCCAAAAATACCCAAAAGATCAGCTACTGTTCTTCAAACTTGGAGATCCATTAAAACAATGTGGAAGATTGAAGACAGGGTGGAGGTGGCCTGGCAAATTAAAATGGCAGGTGAGCAGAAATTTAGCATAATGCCCCTGCTCACTCTACAAAGCAGTCATCCTATCACTGTTTGATAGCTGCAGCACTCATCCCCGCCCCACCAATGGAAATATGCCATTCAATCTGATTTTCGCTAGACACATGACCATTTGTTTGTTTGTTTTCAGGTCAGAAACTGTCGAAACCTTTTGCATCTGATCGCTGCAGTCTGTGGCACTGTGTGTAACCAAATGCTATAGAGTCAAAGACCTCTTCAGGTCACCCTATTTCAAATGAGGTGTAGGGATGTTTGACTGTGTGAAATTTTTAAGTTTAATTATGGTGATAATGACCAAGGTTCAGAAATTGTGAAATCTTTCACCACTGCTTTTTCTGAAGGGTTTTGCTTAATTTAGACCTCTCAAAAATTGGTTCTGCATGATCTTTTCTGTAAAAAGAGAAAAATTTTCTGAAACGTGTTCTTTTTTGTATATCAGAGATCAGAGGGATATAGCGTGCGCACTATGCCACATCCAGTTACACATACAGCCTTAGAGAGGCATATTGGCATGAAACTTGCATTATAAAGGTACTGGGGTACACTTGGGAGCTAGACCCAAATTATAACACCATCCTGGACAAAATTATGCTAATTAGGCACATTACTCAACCACGCTACATGTAACAAACTTGTGTAAACGAACATTTATTAACATACAAACCCACAAAATCAAAACACTCCCAGGTTCATAAAGATCTATCTCAGTACCACATCCCTAAAACCTAGGCCCAGATGCTTTCAAAATGTTTGCAAACCTCCCCCACCTTAGCCAGTTCTGGTAAACCAGTGCAGTACAATGCAACAACATCCAAATGTGTCCAGCTTTCACCTTAACCAATCTGTTGAGATTTTTTGGAAAGAATGGGTCACTATTGATGTAAATGGGAAGGTTACAGGAGGTTAGGCATGAGTCAAAGGTCTATTAAATGTGGATAGTGTGCCCAGAAATTGTCAGCAGAGCATCAAGTAAGGAATAAGTAAAATTGTAGAAGCCAAATGCAGAGATTTGTCTATTCTTATTGTTTTCCAATGCAATACTGAAGGTTTACCTTTGAAGAAACTTATTTGAAATAAAGCTGTCAAAAATAAACTCTGTTAACTGTCATCTTTTCGAAAATGAGAGTTACAAAATGCTCAAGCTGTTCTCTTGGCTCTGCAATGAGAGCCGACAGTTGGAAGCCACAAGTCCATTTTCAAGAGATTGTGTATTTGTTTAACATTGCACACATTTTTAAAATTTGTGGTGCATATGGCGACCCACTCTCCACAAGTCTGGTGAGCATTGAACAATGCTGTCCTAATTGTACTAGGAAGAGCTCAGGACTGGGGAACAGGTTAAGTTTCTGCACAACATGAAGAAGCCTAAGAAAACAAGGAGGTTGAGCACCTTCTGAAATACCTACTGGAGACTCTTATTGATACACATTGAATTGGGACATTTTTCAGAACCATTTCGTAGCAATCCTGAGGGCAGACATCAGATAAAACTTGGAGCAGATTATTTCTGCAGGTTTCCTAGATCCAAATATGTAATGATTCTCTGAACAGGCTAACCAGCTGTCGTCACTTGGATAATCTGTTGGTTTTGGAAATTCTCCAGGCCAAAGGCATTTTGGAATGAACTATAATGGACTGAAATTTCTCTGGCACTTTGCAAAACCAAAAAAAAAATAGTAAGATTAGTAGGTCCTGCACAATTTAAAAGTACTGTAAATGGCCATGAAAATCTGTATCTTCATTGTCATGCTAACTGTGCATACCCCACTTTCAAAACCTTCACTGTAATTACACCCAATTCTACAGTGTGACTGCACAATACATCAGCTATCAAATTAATGAAAGGCGAAGTTTTTTTTTTTAAAAACTTATCTGTGACATGGTTTATTGAATGTGCTACCTGTCTTTTCTGCACATGAAATCTTCATAATTTTTGCTCCTCAAATTTAAAAGAACAAACATTACAGCGCTGACACTCAAATAGAACCATTTGCCAGTTCCCCTTTTTCTTTTAAAAAATGAACTACATTTTACTGTTAGATGAAGTTAACATCTTAAGAGACAAACATTTTCTTCAAAAAAAAATGTAATTTAAATACAAGCAATTGACCTTGGAAAGAATGCTCAGACGCATGAATGAAGGATTTAAAAAGATATTGGAATATACACTCCAAATTTTAACCATATATAAAGATCTGAATTCTATAATTTTACAACATAGAGCATTTCACAGTTTACACTCATTCACTTTCAAATTTGATGGAATTCACAGACATGTCAATGGCCCCGCCCCGGTAGTTCCCACGCTTTTTCTTCGTCTTTTCATGTCTGAAGGATTTTCCTTTCGTACATTTTAGATCGTGATTTGCCTTTTCACCCCAGTCTCCTGACGCTCCTTTCTGTAACACAAATTATCAATAAAGTATTTACAGCACACAGTCAGGGAAGTGATCCAGAGAACAAATTCTGAAAATTCAAAACGTACAATTTGAGAACATTGGAAAAAGAACTGCAAGGCAGCAAATTAAGTGGCGCCTCAATTCAGCAAGATAGTACTCAGGCCCACTTTTCAAAAGACTTAAGCGTTCAGTAGAAGCAGGAGATAATAATTTGTGCTGCTGAGAGAGGTGGGTTACTAGTCCACTGGTATCTGGCTGCGTGGAATTGCAAGTCACCTTACAATCCCTCTTCCCACAGATGCAGCCCCAGATCTCTGCTAACTCTCGATCAAGTGTTAGACTATTGTGGAGCGCAATTAAAGTTTAGCCTGATGCTACCCTCAGCTGACAAACCCACACAAACAAATATTCTCAACAAGAGTGAACAGAAACCAGGCACAATCTGGATACCTCTGCTATCCCTACCAAAGCACTGTGCTATTTTAAGTGAAATCAGGAAAAGCCAAAAGCCTGCAGTGTGACTTTCACTAGAATTATTCCTCAAAATAATAACTTTCAGTCCATCACAAAGGACAAACTGAGTTCATTAAAACTTACTGTTTTTACTTGTGCCTGGTAGCATGACCTCAGGACCCTCAAATTTTAAGATGGTCTCTGACTCACCAGATCATAGAGGGTTCCTTGGATGGTTTGGTGAATAAGGACACTAATACCTATCTGCACACCAGAGTATGCAAGACTAGATTCGACTGCTGGTTTGCACTGAGGAAATCAATTTTAAAGTACAATAGTTCTGGCAGTGCTACAGTGGCCCCAAACTGGGAAGGAATGTAAATTATGAACAACTACAAAGGTCCCATTCATGGTTGCCCAATTGAGTGTTGCCCCCCACAACCAAAGGTAAATGCAAAGCATTCATCCCTGACTACAATACAAAACCAATAATCTCAAAGCAAAAAAGTTAGCAAAATTTTAAACGAAAAGCTTAACATAACAAACATATTATCCTCCTCTACAAGATCCATCAACATTCAAATGTCTCTCACTTACACTCAATAATCAGCAGACAGAATAGTTATTCTACCTATGCTGCAGAGAACAATCACCAGCCTATAGACCAACCTACCCAATGAAAACATCCCAGTAGATGCAATCAACAAGCATTATGTAATGCACAGTTGATATATGTACTGTTTACTAATGGTTCCATTTGCTACTGCTACATGTACAAAATAAACCTGTTGCAAACTTTACATGGTTACTCATTCATAGAATGAAACATGGAACTTTAAATGATCCAGTTTTACCTTTGCAGCAAACGAATTATTTGCAAGACGTGGATCAATTTCAACTTCTTCTTCTCTTACTCTACGGAAAGGAGTATTAGGTTGAGGGCTCTTTACAGAAAAAAAGAACAGGGAACAAAGCACATTAACACATACTACAGGTCTCACATTATGGGTAACTATGAAAAAGATCAGATGCAGGCCTCCACTACATAGTTCTCAAAGGCAGAAAGATTAGGTTCAGTGAGAACAGAATAGTTCAACACAGCTGCAGTGACAAAACTAGCTGGTGCTGATACTCTGTGGCCTTGCTATTACGCAGGTTTGCACTGCATTTCTGACGACGGGATCTACAAATCCAAGAGAATGTTTCAAGTTACATCATCAGCAGGTCAATGATGAATTTCAGGAGGCAAACCACAACAAACGGTAACAACACACCAATTCCTCTCCCTCATTCTATTCTATGATTCTATGTAATTCGCAGATGCATAAAACACATCTCAGAGAATGAGGTTATTTCTTGCTTTACACTCAGCTGACCAAGCTCAAATATCCTAAAGTTGTTGATAATTTCTGTAACAGCAGAGCTGAACCAATGGCTTCAACTCACTACTCAGATACTGAATTAATATTACCAGGAGTGCAATATGGTGAACTGAAACCTAGAATGCACACATCGACAGAAACAACTTTCAAATATGGGCTCAGCGAGGTGAAAGGACTATTGATATAGGACACAAAATTATGGATACTCAGGCACAATGGAGCGGCATTCACAAACTTATGCTCAAATTCCCTGAGCATTTACCCATCTTATTTAATTTGTTCAGACGAAGTAATTATCTGAGCAGAAATGACAACTCCTAGGCCCTTGATTCTCAGTGCAAGCAGCTACTGTTGCAACTTCAGTCAACGTATGACTTTGCAGCAAGTTGCTGTGGGAACCTCCATGTAGATAACTGGCGTGGTTTTTTTTATTCAAAGTTTTCTGGTGCTTAGAGCAAATAGCTTTGTGGAATTTAGACAACCAGAATGCAGCCGACTCAAGACAGATCAGGTTCTAGATTCTGCCCCTTGTAGTTTGGTAATATAACTTCAGACATGGCTCCCACTACTGATCACAACCCAGTGACTGCTACTGGAAAGGACACATGCATAACTGGCAGGCAGAGAATTACGTTCAACTGCATCGCTCTCCATAAACAAACAGTTTAGAATGACACTCTGTCCAAGATAACTCAAGGATCAAACAACCAAGACACACATAATTCCAGCAGAAGCCAACCTTCAGGAGGCAGATAATTAGCAAAATAAGCATTAGCCTAGAAATGATCAAACCCTCTTAAAGAACGTTACCTTAATTCCAGGTGTCAACTTGGACTGTGCCGTTTTCTGAAAGAGAGCAGAGTCGCAAATTAAGACAGTTTGAATTCTGAACTGCCAGAACACTCCACAACAAACTACAATCTCCATGCAAAATGACTTAAATGTATCTTAACTGGAATTTCATTTTTAAAAAAGATGTGAAACTTTTCCCCACCACAATCTCACCTTTTTAGTTTTTGGAAATGTGTTTGGAGTTTTCACTTGCAGTTTCTGGTTTGCTGGAGTTGATTCATCTTTTCTGCCCTCTGCTTCAGACGAGGATGAGGAAGAGCTTTTCCTTTTCCTCTTGGTGTTTACTGTACCTGGGAAAGTAAACAGTCCCAAGCAAGATGCCGAGTTAACTACAAAATCTGCACACAGCTGGCAGGGGGATCCCAGACCCAGGTTATATTTCACAACTGGTTCAGTTTCAACTCACTCAAGATCACACCACTGCTGTGCGATGCCCAAGCTAGACCACCTTCCACCATAGAGCGCACAGTCACAGAACAGATGAAAACACATCAGAACCATTGATAATGGGGAGTAGTATTAACATCAGTCAGTTAATCCAGAGACCCAGGTAATGTTGTGGGGACCTGGGTTCGAATCCCACCATAGAAACAAGCATTTTGGGCAGGATCCTGATACAATTATTTCAGCCATTACTCACACAACTAAAACCAATCCAGGATATGGGCAGTGAACATGTTCCATGGACTAGGATAGAACTTTCTTGCTGAACTAACCCATCTATTTCAATCTGCCACCTTCAAACCAACAAAAATGCTTTGATGCACATCAGTCACACTGGCTTCAAGCACTGGTCATGAGAAATGAGTCAACTCAACCAAAGTGCTATTTGTAGTGGATAAATGATATAAAAAAAAGCTTAATAAAGCACCAAAGGACTGAAAGTAGCCACTGTATGAAGGGAGAATAAAAACGACAAGGTCCCAGTTTACACTGTTATCCTCTGCATCTTGTGTTCACCAGCTGTGGATTTGACTCCCCAAGTTTGAATGCCTTTCAGAAGTTGAGAAAGACACACTGAAGACAGGTGTACTCCTACACCTCTGGAGCAGGTGGGACGTCAGCTCATGTCTACTGGCTGGGAGATCAGGATGCTACCACTGTGCCACAAGAGAAGATGGACAAATCAGGAGGAGTTCTCAACCAACCAAATTCACCCTTAAGTGATTGGCCCATTAGCATGTTACAAGTATTTCATTTTATCTTGATGCTATCAAATCAATAAGAACTCACCAAGAGATGTCGCTGAACAGGCTTTCAGACCCCTAACTTGGTCCCACCGAACACTTGGCCATTTACCCTCACTCGAGCATCCCAATTTTTTTTTTTAAAAAAAGAAGTGACAATTAAAACTCACCGTTTACAGATTGGGTATTCTTTTTCTCATCTTCATCAGAGGAGCTATCTTCAGAGCTACTCTCTGCTGCTTTCTTTGCAGGCGTTAACGTTGGTGTTTGCACATCATTCGGTTTTCGTTTAGCACCGTCTTCCTCGGACTCTGAACTTTCTGAGCTGCTGCTGCCTTCTGCTTTCTTGGCTGCAGAGTTTGCAGATGGAGCGGCAACTGCCTTTTTGACTTGGCTAACTGGAGTTTTCACCTGAGGTTCATCGTCACTCGAAGTTTCTTCGGAACTGCTGGATTCATTTTTACTCGTCACGGCTGTGGCTTTTGATTTTGTAGCAACCGCTGGTGATGCGGCTTTCGTAGTCACAGCCGGGCCTTTTGCTTTCGCAGTCACAGCCGGGGACTTTGCTTTCGCAGTCACAGCCGGGGACTTTGCTTTCGCAGTCAATGATGATTTTCCTTTGGTGGAAATCGTGACCTTTGCTGCAGGTTTTGCCTCCTCCTCGTCACTGCTGGAGTCATCAGAGTCTGAGCTGCTTTCATCAGCCGCCACCTTGGCTGCTGGCATATTTTGCTTTCCTGGTTTTACAGACGCAGCAGCTGGTTTAGCAGTTGGTTTGATGGCAGCAGTAGCCGGCGTGCTCTCGTCATCAGAATCACTCGAGCTGTCAGTTTCTGAACTGCCCTCTGCGTCCTTTGTTTGGGCCGGAGGCTTCACTCCTGGTTTTGGTGCAGTTTTCAAAGCTGGCTTGGGAGTGGGGTTTGTAGCTGGTTTTGATGTGGGTTTTGCCATAATCTTCGTTTTGGGTTCATCTTCAGAGCTTTCAGAATCTGAGAAGGTTACAAATGGAACTGTTAAATCCACCTTCCTCTCAAAAGTAAGGAGGATGACAATTAGGCAATATGTTAGCAAAACACCACCATCTATTTGTATGAAGGAAAACTCCTTCAGCAGCAAGAAAATGAGAAAGATTTTCACCCTAACGACTAGATGGCAGACTAAAATTGTAAATTTTAAAGAGTGGGATGTAAACTCTCAACGCTCTCAAAGATAACAATGCTATTACAAACATAAACATAAGTTGCTGGAGAAACTCAGCAGGTCTGGCAGCATCTGTGGAGAGAAAGTTAACATTTCGGTTCCAGGGAGACTCCTTCAGAACTCAAGAGAAAGAGAGTTCTGAAGGGTTGCTGGATCCAAATAAATAGCTCTGCTTTCTCTCCACAGATGATGCTAGATCTGCTGAGTTTCTCCAGCAATTTCTGTTTTTGGTTCAGATTTCCAGCATCCGCAATTCTTTGTTTTATTTTAGTGCTATCACAAAGCCCAGTTCGACATTTATGAATAGTTTTACATAAAAAGGGTACTGTCTTGGAATAAAGAGATCAACACCTTTTAAATTGACGGCCTTTAATGGGTAGGAAGCCAATGCTTTCTTTCCATAATTAGCGGTTCATCCACATCAATATCTGCTGGATATGCCACAAAGCCATGAATTAAATCATTTGACTAAACTCTGAACACTTCATGAAGGCTTCAGAACTTTAAACAAAAACAAACAGCCCAACTCTCATCTCAATTTTTCTTGAGGTTGTCTCATATCACACAAAATGTAATTATGCTCCAGATTTAATGAACAGCAAAACCATTTACATAAATCATAAGGGTACAGGGTGCAACTTCCTCATCTGGGAGATCAGATTTCCCATCTTCTTGTAACCATAATTATATTCTAGGTTTAACTAACAGCAATAGTATTTACATAAACAACAAAATTAAACAAAAAAAAAAAACAGCGGATGCTGGAACTCTGAAACAAAAATGGAGGGTGCTAGAGAAACACAGGAGGTCTGGAATTGTTCTGACAAAGAGTCACTGGACTTGAAACAATAACTCTTTTCTCTCCACAGATGCTGCCAGACCTACTGTGTTTCTCCTTCATTGTTTCCGTTTGTGCAAACAAATTCACAGCGTGAAAATGAAAAAGACTTCTAGCTCCCTAGCTGGGAGATCAGACATTCCATCTCAATATGACAGTGGGAGCAGAATAGATAGCTAGTTTATCTAATAAATGACAATTTCTTACCGGACTCACTGTCAGAACTGGAATCTGCCTTGGCTACAGTTTTTTGAGCAGCAGCTGGTTTCATCACTGGCTTTGGAGCAGATTTTGATGGTGCAATTTTCGCTGTTAACAAAGAGCAAAGATCAATCTGTGTCATGTTAAAGATGTCAGGGTACAGTAGAGTAATGGCCATGGCAATGATCTAGCATGGCACACTACATTTTAATAAACCTTGTAACTTAGAGGCTGGCACCAGAAAGAAAGTGACCATGAAAAGATACCAACTTGTAATGAAAAAAAAAGCCAAGTATCCTTCAGGGAAGGGAACCGGCCACTTCTTCCTGGTCTACACTGAACCTCACTATATAATCCACGTGATACAGCTGAGTTAATACACAGCGCATTGGCAACGCCAAGATGGCAGGCAAAGTTAGTTGGCACTAACGATAGCCATGACATAACCTTCTGTTTCCCTGACCACTCTCTTCCCCCAACTCTGCTGGCTGCACCCCTTGCTGTATGATCGTGCCTTTACTCGGTCAGTTTAGCAATGCCAAAGCTCGAGGTGTCAGGTGAGGCACCGAAGGCTCTTTCCAAACATGCCACTTGGTCAATGGTTTTCTAATTCATTTCATGGCACTTCTTTAGCAGTTCACTGCTGCAAGTTTAATAAAACCATACAAGTAAATCCTGCTATTGGTTTAAGTAAGGTGCACTCAGGCCTTTGACTACAAATCTGTGTTTCTGAGCACGCCTGGTCTCATTGGTAATAAAGGTAAACTCATCTAGTCCAACTGGACCATAGGGCTGCTCTCTGGAGTGGTGGTTTAACCCAAGGGTCACCGTGCCTCAGGCAAGGGGCAATGTTGAGATTAAAGAACTTTCATTATAATCTCAGCGGGTACAGGAATTGGAACCCATGCTGTTGGCATCCCTCTGCACTGCAAAACAGCTGTCCAGTCAACTGACCCCCTCACGTTGGTAATAAGCGCAGTTGAGTCACTATCCTCTAAGAGTGCTTAACCATTAAGTAGCAGAATAAAACTACTCCAAGGAAATCACCATCACCTTCTCAAGCCAACAAGGATGGATCATAAATGCAGCTTCACCGGTGCCACTCAAATTCAGAGAACAAACTTCTCATTTCTAGACAATTAACCAAACACCTATTTAAGTTAATCTCACTTCAGGTGCAGTTACTAAAAGCGTGCACTCCAATTTTTTTTTTTTTTTTAAAAAAAGAAGAAGAACACAATTTAACAGAGGAGCTTTTATTAGAGCTGGACAGTAATCTCCAAAAATAAAACATCTGTAAGTGCAAGCCGACATCCTATACAACAAACTTACAATGCCCACTTGCTCCAGAGGCGTGTAATAACATCTCTAAATGGATCGATTAAAAAAGTGTCTAAACTGAAATAGCTCAGCACTTACTAGCAGGTTTCATGGGTTCCTCATCAGTACTGCTGTCAGAACTATCCTCTGAAGAGTCACTGCTCTCCTTTTTAGTAGGGGCTGCTGCTGCTTTCTTGCTTGTACTCGATGCTGGAGCCTTTTTTACAGCACTTGACACTGGAGCCTTTTTTACAGCA